ATCTGTCTTGCCTTTCAAGAGGATGGCCTGTGTTTTAGCAGCTGCCATCCGCAGTTTCTTTCTATCAGGTTGGCGCACCACTCAGCTTCTTCTTTCGACCTGGCTCTGCTGTTCGAGGCCACCACAGCGGCTAATCTTATGTATTTTTAGTTGATAATGGCTGGATTCATGACTGAACACATACATATATATATATATATATATATATATATATATATATATATATATATATATATATATATATATATATATATATAGTCTTCGTCCCCCTCTTCAGCAATCTAAAATAATAATATATATATATATATATATATATATATATATATATATATATATATATATATATATGTATATCATGGGTAAAAAATGATGTGATTCGAAATCCTGTTGCCTAAGAGCACCTGCGTTTTCAACACAGATGATAAATTATTGTAAAGCTTTAATTTTTTTCCATTACCTGCGGTATATTTGATTGTGAGTCTAATGAGTCTTTGATTGTAATTCATGGAACGTTTTAGGGAGTCTTTGTCCCCCTCTTCAGCAATCTAAAATAATACCAATCTAAAATATATATATATACTACTATAATACTATACTATAATACTATATATATATAAGTTAAGGTACGGAGCGGGACAGTATTAGCTTTAATACCAAAAGCATTTATGTAAACAACTTAGAATGTATATATAGAGGATTATAAGGAGGAATAAAGCAGTCTTGTTTCTGACTTCATGCGTGTTATTTGTTGAACCTTTACTCTTTTTTTTAAGTGTTTAAAGCCCGCAACGTTTAACTGGTGCCGAAACCCGGGAAGGTGAGAGTGCAGAGGTACGTTTTTTTAAAACCACCGTTACGAGCATGCCTGAATTTGCCTTAGGGCAGCCGGCTACCATGAATGTGCCAGAGATCCCTCCGTTACCGCAGGGAACCTTTGCCGCGGCGCATGCGAATGCGATAGAGTGGATGAAAATCCGGGTAGCCACTGCACAGGACCTCAGGGAGGCTATATCCGATCTCGAGCGCTTCACTGGAGAAATAGGTGAGCTCAACCATTTTTTAAAGGGTGGAGATCGGCTCGTGGCGAGAATTAACGCGAAGATTGGCGAGAACCTCGTCAACGCTGGGGATGCGGAGGCCCTTAAGGCGGCCCTTGTGTGCAGGGTAAAACGGAGCATCCTGAACCACATTCAGGCAGATGAAGAGACGCCGTGGGAAATGGTCAAGGAGAGACTGAAGAAGGCCTACGGTGGTGGCAGATGGACTACGGAAGAAGACATCTATCAGATGTTTCGCGAGGTGAAGTCTTCACGGCAGTCCAACGGACAGTATGCGGCAACATTAGTAGCTCACTACAACCGGATCACCGAGAAGATGCGGGAGACAGCTGGAGCTCCGGAGGTCGAAGCGAAGATGGCCTTCTTGTCCACCATACTGAAGGTGCAATTGGCGAAGGAAACGGGGAAGAAAGATGGCCTACCCCGGGAACGTTCGTTTATTGAATGCGCCCAAGAGATGGTAGATTCCAGCGCTCGAGATGAAGAAGCCCGGTTAGAGGGGGAGGAACCAGGATGGAATAGAGTGATCTATAGGAGACCTAGGAGTTCACCAACGACCTGGAGAAGGAGAGAGCCCGCACACAACGGGAGAGAAAAGACCACCGGAGCCGAACGAAGACCAGGGCAAGGTAGAGCAAGAGGTAGCCAACGGAGAGAGGACAGGAAATGCCACGGTTGTGGAAAGAGCGGACACCTGGTGGCACAGTGTCCCCGCACGAAATGTTTTGAGTGTGGGACTGAGGGACACATTGCGAGGCAATGCCCGTACATCTATTCCAGAAGAGGCTCACAGAGGGTTGAGCCGATGGAGGTAAATGCCCAGGAAGTGAGGAGAAGAAGGATACACACAAGGAGGAGCGAGTCATCAAGAGACTCGTCGGAGGAATCCTTGGCCACGGAGACAGAAGAAGAGATAGAGGACCCAGTAGGCCGGGAGAACGAGAGGAGTCGACGAAGAAGCAGCGGAAGGAGTGGACGCCGACAAACCGTGGAGAGGATCTGAGGAGAGTGTCAGGCGAGGGGTAACCGCACGCTAGTGAGTTGTAACATCAGAGGTAAAAGCTGCTGGTTACCTATAATAGAGGTGGGAGGAGTGCGATGCCTGGTAGACACCGGGAGTTCCAATACCATCATGACACGGGGAGTGTTGAAGAAGCTGTACGATGGAGAGAGGACACTCCAAGTCAAGGTATGTAATTGTAAGTTAATCACCCTGGGTGGCCCGTGTGGGGTAGAAGGGGAAGTGGAGATAGGTTTGAGGAGGTGGGCAGTCAAGGGAGGTAAACTTACGGTGCATGTAGTGGGAGAAATGCCGCGGGAATACCAGGTAATCATAGGATGTGACATGTTGGAGAAGGTGGGCGTGCGAATCGCATATAGAAGGGAGGAGTGGAAAATAAAGATGGGGAGAATCAGGTATATGAGTGCGATGGCAATAGAGGGGCATGAGGACAGGAGAGCACGTGTGGGAGCTATAAGTCGGGCGGAGGATTGGAGAGTAGTCGTGAGAAGTGAATTCGAAGACATCTTTTTCAAGGAGGGAGATACGTTGGGAGTGACGGGCAAAACGGTGCACGAGATCCCGCTGAAGCGCGAAAAGGTGAGCTAGGTGAAAGAGAGGAGGTATCCGCAGGCACTTCGCCAATACATTAGGGAAGAGTTGGAGAGTCTAAAGAAGCAGGGGATAATTGTCGATAGCACGTCGCCATATAATAGCCCGCTATGGGCAGTTAAGAAGAAAAGCGCGCCCGGAGAGGATAAGTACCGCGTGGTAATCGATTACCGCAAACTTAATGAGAATACTGTGGATGAAAAATACCCAATCCCGAAGTTTGAGGACATTTTAGATCGGCTAAGCGGGGCAACGGTATTCAGTACTCTTGACCTGAAAGCGGGATATCATCAGATTAGGATGCTTCCGGAGGATCAATTGAAGACAGCATTCATGTTCGAGAGGGGGCATTACAAATTTACGAGAATGCCATTTGGTCTCAAGAATGCCCCTATAACATTCCAGCGGCTAATGGACGAGTTCCTAAGGGGAATTGACGAAGGGATGTGCCAAATTTACATGGACGACCTGTTGGTATTTAGTAAGAACGAGGCGGAACACGTAGAGCATCTACGTAGGGTATTTGAGAGAGTCAGACAATTTGGGCTGAAACTGTCCAGCGAGAAATGTCTGTTAGGGCAGGACCACATAAATTTTTTAGGACACAAGATATCGAGTGAAGGAGTAAAACCTGACGCGCGGAAAGTGGAGGCGATTCAGAAGATGGCAATACCTCGGGATGTAAAAGGGATCCGCAGATATATAAGTTAAGATACGGAGCGGGACAGTATTAGCTTTAATACCAAAAGCATTTATGTAAGCAACTCAGAATGTATATATAGAGGATTATAAGGAGGAATAAAGCAGTCTTGTTTCTGACTTCATGCGTGTTATTTGTTGAACCTTTACTCTTTTTTTTAAGTGTTTAAAGCCCGCAACGTTTAACTTATATATATATATATATATATATATATATATATATATATATATATATATAGTTTAGCCGCTCAAAAGTCCATTTTAAACAGTTTTAGAATTAACTTAACTTTCTTTATTGAATATTAATACATTCTGCCACATTGAAGGGCATTAATATTAAGGCTACATGATTCACTCACACAATATGTACATACAATTTAGAATTAAAAATTCTACTTTCACTTTATATAAATTTTACCTCTTTCACTATGAATAAATTTTTAATTACTTAAATTATGTATTTGTTTAGTTATTTCTTCCCATCCAACAAAAAATATGACACTTAAAAATACTTCGCCGCCATTGACTTCAGAAAACATACGACGCTGCTTGGCCCAATGCCCTTTTTACATGTTTTCAATTAATATGCTTATGTTTGCCTCATCTAATTACGAATATGTTATCAGTATACCCAATGTTTCAAAAGCTTCCTTGTATAGTTTTTGTGGAAGGGAATCAACTATGATAGTCCACAAAAGGAGTCAAAGAACCCCTCTCAAACCCTGTGAACACCCTTGATTTTTTTTTTACTTTCCTACCTATACTAGGTAAGGAAAGTATTGCAATCGGGTCAAATTTCCAACATGCGGTTTTCGACGGGTCTATACGTTTCACAGCCCCCTGAGTCCGAAAAACACATTTTTAGCCATTGGTCTGTCTCTCTGTCTGTCTGTCTGTGCCAATATTTTCTCGGGAACTAGTAAGCGGATTTTGTTGCTTCTTTTTTTATTTTGTAGGGTTTTGACTACTGATGGCTGTGACAGAAATACGGTGCTCCATGCGCAATAGCTTGCGAGCAATAATTAAAAAACATGTTTTTCTATAGACTGTAGCGCAAAAACGGCTCTAACGATTTTGATGAAACTTTCCTATAATGTTCTAATCATTGTTTTTTCAATTTTCGTATAAAAACAGTTAAGGCTATCTTGTGTCTTTTTATCATTATTTCTATAATCCAAGTAAATAATTAGCTGGAATATCTCCCGTTATTTTCATGATTTTGTCTATGATTTCTTATGAGGTATTATCAAAAGCAATCCTTTCTTCATAAATGCACAGAGTATCGCAGCAAATGATATTCTAATATATGATCAAATATAAGATTTTATAAACACTTTCGATTTTTAAAAATTTAAGAAAAAGAAAATATTATATATTTATATGAAAATAAATATATGCCTTATATATATATTATACGATATTTTAAATCATAGTTACTGATCATTTTCAAAAATAATTTCGGTAAATATTCAATACAACACATTTCTAGGTAATGAATTTACCTTCAAGAAACAACTCAAGAACAATTTCGAAAATAATTTATATCAAGCTGAAATATTTTGGAGATTAACATAAAACGTAAAAGACCTTACAACAGTAAGCTATTCGAATATTTAATGAATTTAAAAAACGAATTTCTTAAAGCAATAACTATTATTTTATCACATCGTGTATTGGATAAAAATCTTGTTTAAGGTTCCAACAAGTCTGATAAATATTTTAATAGATTCCGCACCAATAAATGAAAAATATGATTTCACTATCATAAATGTTTGTAAATCGAAGTATCACAGTGTTTTTTTTTTGAGATAAGAAAGAATTGGTAATAAAGGGATGTATTTTTCAATCGATTTTATTATTGATTCGATTTGGTTGGCTTATCACCCCTACCATTGCTGAATTTGAAGGTAACGGGGTGGGGGCGCGATGAGTAACGGTAAGAAGACACTCGCAAGTCGCAGTCTTCATCAGCCACCAAGAGACAACACTCAGAAGATGGACTACTCAAACTATAGAAGAAGAGATTACAGCAAATGTGACTATTCCCCGAAGATGCCACCTGGCATGGATTTCGATGAGGTTTCTGAAGAAGTTAAGAAGTTTGGAAAGGTTGAAAATATCACATTCTACGTCACCGAAGGACCAGGTAATCCATCTAAAGTAAAAGCATTTGTCAATGAATTGCGTTCCCATAAAATCAACTTTCTTGCTCGCACTAATCGCAGCAACTATAACTCCGATGCTTTTGAAGGTTCTGATATAAATTTGGTTGATGTGACTTTTACTGTGCCCTCATTTCCACCCGAAGAGTTTTCCTTACATGTTTTTCATGGGTTGATTAAAAATATTTTTCTTGAAAATAAAAAAGTTGCTGTAGCAATCCAGGGTTATGAGGACGGTGCTTTTTTGATAGTCTTTGCTTTGATGGTGTTGGGATATGACAGAGTTGATGCCTTAATTAAGGTTCGTGAATTCGAAGGAGAGGCTACTATATCCCAAATCCAGTATCTCCGCGGTCGAGAGAAGGATCTCAAGAAGGATCATGAGATTATGCTTACCAGAAGAAAGCCCCGCGGATTTTTTGCCAGATGCGTATATCATGTTTTAAATGCGCATCGTTAATTTTGTGATACTTATAATCCATTTTATGTTATAAATTTACTATATAATCATATTTTTTTGTTTTATTTATTCCACTGATAATTTGTATGCATTTAGAAACCTTTCTTCTTTTATTTAAATTCACATAATAAATACATTAATTATAAAATATATAAAATTTTAAGTGATATTTTTTAAATTTAACAAAAAAAGACTATTTTGGCTGTGGAATTTTTAAAGCTTAACAGTTGAGTTGTATTTTTCATGACCTTGTGTCATTTTATTTTATTTTAAAGTAATACTAATTATGTCAGTTTTATTGAATGTTATTAATGTAAATTTTTAGTAACCAGAAATTTCTATTAAATGTTCTTATAACACACTTGTAAGATACATTTTTTTTAATATTCGAAAAATTTATTTGCCAAATTTCACTGGTTCCACTGAAGATGTGAACATATCTGAAGAAGTCTTCAGTTTATTCCATCTACCCTGTTGATACCAGATATAATAACATGAAAAAAAAAGTTCTATTCAGTAACATTATAACTTAAATTCTATTAGCAACTTTTCTCAGTTTATCTATTTTCAATTTTTTTCTGTGTGTTATTGGATGACTTATGTTTGGTGATGATTTGATATAAATGAGATCCTGTAACAGGTGCCATGAAATTAACCAATGTATTTTTAAATTATATATTATTGTAATGATATGTTATTATTATGAATTGTCATTATATAATGTATTACTATTATGTATTAGCATTATCATTATATGGTGTTGGTATTAAATATATCTATATATATAATTACTTAATATTATTTTCATTATTACATATATGCCCTTTCTAAAATTTAAATCTCAATAATTATTATTTCTAATGTGAACAGTTTCTAAAAAAAAAAAAAAGATCATTAAATGTGAAAGATCTGTTTGATTTAATAAACAAAGTAAAAACCATAACAAAAAATTAAGAATGATATCAACAACTTACAAAAACCGTAAATTGGTTATAAAAACATTTGCATGTTTTGGAGGAGATTAGTTATGATTAAATTCTGGTTGAATTTATGAAACATTATTGAAATTTAACTCACTTAAAATCCCTTTATAATGCTTTAACTATAGTAATTGTATATGTTTAAAGTATGCCGAGACTGAAAAATTTAAATCTTTATGTATGACAAAATTTCTATATTCTAACTTTTTCAAGGAACATTCATGTTCGAAATACGGAGGTTAAAATGTATATTATTGGTATTACTTGACAGTCAATCATCAATCACTTCTATCCATTTATAAAAAAAAGTTAGTCAGTATAATTTACCATGGTTTCATAGTAATAATATAAATGATAATATCCACTAGCGAATCCAGGATTTATTTTTTGGGGGGAGAGGGAGGGATTCAGCCAAACAGCTTTTATATATATATATATAAAACAATAATTACTTCAAAAAAAAAAAAAAGAAAGGTACTAACTACCTATATGAAATGGTGTTCAAGTGATTCTTTAAGTCCTATTAAATGTAATTAAAGCAATAATACTTTAAGAGATAATGTTTTTATATTTCTTTCCATTAAACATGGTTACATTTTATGGAGGGAGAGGAGGGAGGAAAGTCAGCCCGAATTTTATTTCAGCCCGAATTCCTATTTTATAAATTAACAAAATGTAATGCACTGAAAGTATTCCAAACCATGCCTGATTTATATACACAATTTATAGAAAATCTAATATGACATCTCATATTACAATTAAATATTTAGGATCTTATATGGCACTAGTCATCAAACACAGCAAGTTAACTTTAGAAAACATTTTGATTTTGTCTATAGTTCTTCTTAATAAAAGCACTTAATAAAATTTATTTAAGAAAACAATGCCAAATAAAGTACTTGTTTTATAGTTATCTAAAGAATGTAAAATAGCATAAGATAGTAACCAACTGAATCCAATATAAAAATAAATAATAATAAAAAATTAAAAAATCACATGATTATTTGTTAGATATTAAAACAATATGGATTCATTTAGGATGTAGAAAACTTTAATCACAATTCTTTTATTTATTTTCTTTTAATAGTAAAATGTCTACCAGGAGGTTAAACAAATTTAAAGAATTATCATTCATATTGAAATAATTCCATTTTTAACTCATGTAATTGTATTAACTCAACAAAGAAAAATAAATAAATACGGAGACTAACATTGTTCTATCAGAAAAAAAAAAAGAATAAGGTTGCATGGAAAATTGATAGCACGATAAAACGACTGTTACTCATTCTGATAAGCTGTATTGGAAGGTGTTATTGGCATAACATCATCAAGCTGATGAATACCATAAGATATGATAATCAGTTCAAGGAAACTGACTAAATAAACCTTTTAATAGTTGCTACTTGGCAAATAATGAGTATAATCTTTGATTAGCTGTTCCAGCATTAACCACAACATCATTTTCTGAAATATTATTTATGTATATTAATAATATAATATTATTAATGTAACAATATTATTTATATGTGAAAAAGTATACTTCACTTATATGTCAACATTTTATTTGTTATATTTAAATCAATATTCAATTTTCACAATAATTCTTGGTTTTTTGTCTGGGTATTATTTTGTCTCCCTATGGCTTTGGCACTTATCTGTGATTCAGAAAAGGATCTCAGGCAAAGATATACCTTCTTAAAAGTGTGAAACACTGCAAGGGACAATAGGATTTTTTGTTATTCACAGCAATCAAGTAAAGGAGATTGAGACAGTTAATTTTTAAAAGGATATTTTTTTTTTTTTTATCAAAAATAAAATATACATTTCCTTTTTTTTTCTAATTTTAAATATAATAGAAAATTAACTTTATTCTGAGACAATCTTTCTTAATAAGAGTTTTTATGTTGATGACAAACATTAGCAGTACAATGTAAGTTTTATTATATCAAAAAATTAATAATTCTGCAATAGAAAGAATAATCATTAAATTAAAGTTTAAGAAACTAATATTACCATACAAATTATATTTGAATTATTATTCTTTCTTACAAAAATTCTAAACAAACATCCACATTGAACATCTATAAAACACGATTAAATAGGGGTTCTGAAAGGAAGTAAAGTCTATAATGAAAAATGTATGGAATGATATAAAATCTTTATCCTGTACGAAGATGTCAACTTTCCTATGCTTAAACAAGCTAATTAACTAAAATAATTAAAAATTTATTTTTATGAAATCATTGTTTTCACATTCTCACTGTGATAAAGTGTACCCTGTGTACTGTTATGAGTGAAAACAATGCTTCAGTGAGCATTTTCATCATTCTCTATTTTTTACTAATTTGAGTTTTGTGATTTTTCCCAAATGAATATGGTTATAACCTCTTTAAACAATCATTTAATATATAAATAGAATAGAAAAATAACTTTATTCTAGTACAATGCTGCTTAAATATAACAGATTTGTATAGAGAACATTATTTATGGCCAAAACACCCGTTTCTATGAATAAATAAATATTTAAAAAAATAACAGCTGACTATGAAAAATCTGTGCAACAAATGAAGAATTATAATACCAATATTTGCTTCTAAGAACAAACAATAAGAAAAAGAGAAAGAAAAAAATTCCTCTAACAAAACAAGTACGCCAATTCTTAAATTAAAAAAATATATATTAATAATAAAAAGCGAAAATTTCATCTGTTATTTAAAAATATACATAATTGTACATTGTGAAAAAAAAAGATAATCCATATACAAAAATATTGATTAGAAATAAACAACATGTACATTTATCTGCTATATAGCATGTGTATATATTATTCGTATATAGCAAATTAAGAGCATGGAGAGAATATTATATTTCAGTTGAAATTAGAATGTGTATATAAAAAGAAATAAATATATGAATAAACATAAAAATTAAGCAATCCTTGTAATATAAATGACAAAAACAAACAGTAAAACTATGTGAAAAATGAAACGAAATATTTGTTCTTATTCATAGGTAAAACGTGAACAATAAAAACAAATCCTTTTTGAATATTGATTACAAAATAATGGTTAGTCAATGCCTGACTGTTTTGTAAAGAGGAATTTGAATAGAAGGGTTTTAAATGTAGATAAATCCAACTCATTGTAAAGAGGCCCATACACTTTTATATGGGTCAAAATATCAGTATGCTCTGTTTATCTGTTATTTGCAGGTAAAAGGGTAGAATAAAATCGTTCTGTTGTTCCACCCATATGAAAACATATGTACACTATCACACATCATATAAGAAGAGCTAACTTTGTACTCATGATGAGCGAAATTAATTCTCACAGATTGGTCATTTAGCATTTATAAAAGTTTATGGGCCCTTTTTTGAGTTACGATTTTTTTTAAATTACTGATAAATTTAACATATAGTGATTTATACACAAAATATCAGTATCAAACATAGAAACTGGAAGATGGAGAGGGCAAAGCACTTTATACTCCCTCCTTCCTTAATATTTAATGAAGGAGACCAGAGTTTTACTGGATTTAAAATATTTCATAGCAATTTATTTAAAAAATAACTCACAAATGAGTTAAATAAATCATACAAGTAATAATTATATTATATTATAGGTGACAAGCTTTATATTATAGGTATTAAAACTAAATATCAAATGTTAAAATTTTTATGTTAAAGTAGATTGATTATTCATCCCACTGTGCAGCGTTCTAAAAAAAGTGCTTTTAATGTGGCACTTTGTAGTTTGTTGATTTTTCATCTTGCTTCATCTTGATGAAGTCCATTTGAATGCTTGTTTTAATTGCTTTGATTGAATTGGTGAACACCGTTGAAAGTTAGAAGATTACGGCTCATGTTGCTTCTTTAGTAATGGGCAGATGTATGGTAACAATGTATACGATTAGTATCCTCTATACTTTGATGAAGTGGGTCTATCCAACAGTATGTCCAGGGGCACGATGTGGATGAGTATACTTTACCCAATTTTATTTTATAATTTTATGAAATTATAATAATCGTCAAAAAGGAAAATTACATCTGCTATTTTAAAATATTCCTATAAATATAAATAATCAATCATTGAAAAAAGAAGGAAACAAATAAAACAAAAATATGGTGATCTATATACATAAATATTTGAAATGAAATGAAAAAATAATTTTATTCTGGGACTACTGTCCCCTAAGAATAATAGCAGAGTTACAAATTTATGTATCTTAGTCTGGCATAATAAAAATACCAACTAATTTACTGTTAATTGTTATTTCAATTGTGCAATGGATTGAAATTAAACATTGTATAGATGCAAGTAATTTTACATGTTAGAGGAAGTTTGAATGTGGAGTAGGTGTTGGAACAGGAGTTGCTTGAAGGAATTTGTGGACGAGGATTGATGCATGGAGGTAGGAAGTGAGTTCCATAAGGAAGCAGCACGAATGACGAAGGATTTGCTGAAGGAGGAAGTTTTATGGGAGGGAATATATAAGTCTATAGGTTGAGACCTAGTATTGAGAGAGTGGATAGAGGAGTTCCAGGATGTAGGGTGGGTTTTTGGTTCTGAAGACTTGGAAAAGGAAAACACCAAGGAGGAATTTTCATCGGGAAGTAGGATAAAGCTACTTCAACTCGGTGTACCAGAGTGAAACATGTGAACGCCTGGGAACCCCGAAAATGTATCTTATGAAACAATTCATGAGTCTCTTTAGTCTCATTTCCAGCCTAGCAGATAGCCCTCCATACACCAAACAACCGTAGTCGAATTGGGTGAATATAAGGAGGTTACAAGGGAATAAGGGAGGTTACAAGGAGCTGTCTGGTTTTTAGAGGAATACAATCACGGAATCTTAGGAGTTGTTTAAGGGCAGTTATGGATTTTCGGGTAATCTGGGAGATATGGTTATTCTAGGAGAGGTTCTGGTCAAAGGTTACTCCTTGGTTTTTGGCTGTAGGGAAAAAAATGGATGGGATGGTTATTGAGGTTAAGTAGAGGAAAGTAAGGAAGGGAGCTGATGAGATGTCTGGACCCGATGATAATAGCCTTGATTTTATCTGCATTCAGCTTTAATTTTTTCCTAATATTTTCATATTATATTGTATTTTTCTCAATTATTTGGCTTATCAAATAGCATCCATTCTTTCATAATATATTTTATTATTTATAATTGGTGGATGACATTTTGAGGCAATGATCTCCATCTTCAGAAAATTCTTTATTAAAATTCATTCTTTATTAAAATTAAGATTATAAAATATTTGGATATGAACATCAGTTTCGACTATTTTAATTTTAAATACCTAAAATATTAAATAATAAATATATTTGGTCTCTTGATTAGTAATGGTTTTGAAGAATTAACCGATAAATTGCATATATTAAAATTAAATTGAACATAAAATAATAAAT